AGCATCGCCTCAGCATATGCCATCCACTAACACTCATTACCTACAAAATGGTGGTTCTTTTGATCCCACCATAGGACATGCAGGATGCACTTTCATCATCCAATGCTATCGAGTCCAGACCATTGCGGAAGGCATGTCCTAGTTGCTAGAGTGGTCACGTTGATTGTTGGAGTTGTAACATTGAAGATCACATTGTAGGAGATCAATAGACTCCTATTAATTAATAAAGAACTGGAGCAGAATGTAACGTGTTCAAAGACTTCAAAGTCCTTGATGGAAGGACTTTCTGAATGCCTCAAGATTGCCTATAAACAGAGACAGTCACCACTTGTCAAGGCGTCCTCTTAGTTACTTCTATCCCATCGTTGGAAGCCTAGAGTCGAGTGGAGAGTGTCTCAGACCAACAAACTGAGTTAAAGTTTTYTTCAAGTCTCGAGTAGCCAAAATGGAAGGTATATATGCCCCTATTTGATTTTCTCTTTAGTTTTAAAATGCTCAGAGGTGAATGTTATGTGGATTTCCATAATTTTTTTTTTCTTCAAATTGGTATCAGAGCCATCTAAAATGCTTAAAAAAAATTGCATTTACCGGCGATTTGGCTGGATTCCAACCAAATAAATGCCATAAACAGATCCCCATTTGACTGCCGTCCATATTTGATCTATTGGAGGCTGACTAGCCGCCAGAAATGACCAAAAATAGATGGTCTGAAATTGGTGTTTTAGCTCGGGTTGTGCAAAACCCGATTGAGCAAGTCAAGCGAAGAAGACGAATTTTTCGGGTCAACTATAACCCGTTTTCAACAAAATTGTATCGTATATGGTGGGCCATCGCGGCCACGGTACCGTGTCCGGCATAGTACGCACGCCAAACTGTTTCCGTCCGAACCAATCTATTCGAATCAATTTAATCCGGTCTATTCGAACCAAATCGGTTCTAAACTCACCAGAAAAAGTTTTGGGGCTAGTTCATATGTTTTAGAGTGGTTCTTGACTGGTTCAAGGGATATTCAGTATATCAACACCTATTTAATATTTTTTGAATATTTATTCTAAATTAAGTTTCTTTTCTGCACTTTTGTTTGGAAATTAAATGCCTAGTTCAGCCTTAAATAAACTCTTTTTGTATTATATTTGATGATTAAAGGTTTCCCTTTTAATTTAATTGAATGAAAAAATATTATAAGGGTGAATATCATTACTTTTACTTTTAAAAGATCATGCATAGACATTATTACCATCAATCATATTATGTTCTCTACTTATATAGAAACTAAAGAACGTGGAATATAGTGATTGACTATTCATTTGTTCTTAAGAACAAATTGAGGACCAAAAGCCAAAGCATTTGGGTGTCAAATTGGTATCAAATACTTTGTGATTTGGCCATTAGTTGACCATTCCATTGAACCCGTGAATGATTAACCCAAAGGTAATATTATTTATCGTGGTTTAATTGGAGTGATCAAGGGAATTTCATCTGTGTATATTTATTATTAATTACTTGAATCCAAAGCTTTAAGTGATTAATAGTCAATATATGCATATATGATTTGCCTTGTAATGTAATTAAACTCACTTGGTTACTATGAAATCATTCTTGAACCCAAAGGAGAGAGGGTGATTTCATATATAACTTTGTCATTTGCAGTTTGTTTATTTCACTCCCAATGTGTAAATTTGGTATTTATATTTGCATGGCAGCCTTGAACACTCAAAACCTATTTGTTCAATTTCAATCATTCTCCATTGAACTCTTGACTGGAACCAACTACAAGAGATAGAGAAGTCAGATTGACATAGTCTTGGGATCTTGTGGGTATGACATTTTCCTCACACAACCCGAACCTTTACAGCCTTCGACAAATGCAAGTAGCCAAGTTCACACTAGATATAACAGTTGGCAACAAGCCAATAAAATGGTTCTTCTTATTATTCCAAGTCAAATTTTTGAACCATTTAAAGCTGACATTCCCATTTCTGATATTGCTAGGGAAACCCTTGATACTATCAAGAGTCAGTTTATAGGCTCCACAAAGGCCATGATCATGAATTTTATTTCCCAACTCTTTGTTGCAAAATTTGAACAACTTGAGAATATTAGAGAATTCATCAGTAAAGTATCTAGGATTGTTTAACAACTACGTGATTTGAAGACAAACCTGGATGACAATTTCCTTGTTTATGCGGTGTTATATGCTTTTCCTAAGTCATTTGAAACCTTTGTGGTTAATTACAACACTAGTACTCACAAATGGAGTGTGAATGAACTGATAAACCAATGTGTTCCAGAGGAGAGACAATAGAAAGGCAGAATTGAATCTGCACATGTTTATGCTCTAGGATCAAAGAAGAAACAGTTTAAGAAAAACGAACAAAAGGAAAAACCATAAGTATAACCCTAAGGAGCAAAGTTTCACTAGGCCTGAGTAGAAGAGGGTAGAAGGAATTACCTACAATTATTGCAAAAAACCAGGACACTACAAGTCTAATTGTTGGAAGTCAAAGAAGGAGAGCAAGCAAGGAACCCCTTAGCCTTAGTGTGCTTAGAATTGAATTTTGTGGATATACCCTTAAATACATGGTGGATTGATTCTGGGTGCACTATTTACATTTCAAATGCCTTATAGGGGTTCCTAAATGTAAGGAAGGTTGATTTAGAGAGCATCTACATCTACTTGGGGAATGCAGAGCATGTCGAAGTCTTAGGAGTTGGCACTTATAGACTTATCTTATAATCTAGATTCGCACTAAATCTTATTGACACTTATTATGCACCTTCTATTAGAAGAAACATAATTTCACTTTCAAATTTAGATACTTGTGGGTATTCATTTTATTTTTCTAGAGGAAGTCTTACTATTAGTTATGGTTTGAATAATATTGGCTTTGCAACTTGTTTAGATGGGCTTTACAAGTTAAATCTTGATCAATCATATGAAAAATCATTGTTGCTTGTGAATGTTGAATCTTGTCATATTGACAGCTTGCCACTAAAAAGAAAAGTGAGGGAACCTTCATCTATGCTTTGGCATCGAAGGTTAGGGCACATATCTAAAGATAGTCTTAATAGACTAATAAGAGAGGGTGTAAGTACCATGGTAAGGTGGAAGTTGGTCAGTCTCTGAAGGTCCGGAGATAGTGGCGGGAAAGAAAGAGAACATGGGGAAGGGAGGAGAAGAGAGGAGAGAAGGGAGTCATTCTCTTTATGAGAAACCCTAGGTCAAAACTGTTATTATGTTGTCTCCCCCCCTTTGGGGAATAATTGCTCTCCCCCTTTTATAGAGAGAAAGTTAAGATTATTAAGGAGAAGTTCTTTCTTGATAGGAAATGGGATATTTTTTGTTAGGAAAAGATATCTTTCCTTTTGTTTGACTATTAAGGGATCATTATTAGAGAATCATGTCCATTCCGGATTYTCTCCGTATGTGACCATATTATACTGACATGGTGTGGGTGATGTCATTGTTCGGTGGGCCACTTTTATTAGGGTAACATGCGTAATTTAAAGGCGCACGTGTAATCGACATTTATTCCTGATTCCGCAGTTCTGTAATGGTCTCGGGTTCATCACAACTTTGCATGCATCCGAAGTTCATCGCGAATCCGTGCGCGTCTTTATAGATCATCACAGATTCGCACGTGTTTAAGCTTTACCGCAAGTTTATGTATGTCTAAGGTTTATCGCGGATTCACGCTAGCCGATGCTCATGACGACCCGGATCAAGTATGAGTTTGTGATGAACTCATTGCAAATGTGTGATGGGTTATAGATTCATCGCAGGCATCCATGTAGTGTTGATTTGATACCCTCTGTATTCTAATGGTCTTAGTGACCACTATGTACCTACATTAGCCCCCCTACTTATCGGTAAGTGGAATTTTACTGATAAACATTTTTGTCATCGTGTTTTCTTCAAGGTTTCGCGATGGAATGATGAAGAAAAGATTTATAGATGTTGTGGCATTCTGATCTTTTTGCATTAGGTCTGGTGATCATTCATGTTCTTGATGATATGCTCTACAAACTTTGCATGCGGGAAAAAAATTTATTTGGGTATGTTTGATAGCCCCCCTACTTAATGACAAGTATTAACTTGTCAATAAGCATTGTGGTATTCAACTTAATAATGATCTTGGATGGGAATCGAGAATTTTCATTTTGTGATTCAGTCCCTCTGCCTTTTTGAGAGGGTGTCGTGTTAACTCGTACTTGTTTTCTAGGTCATTGGAGTTTTTTGAAGGTCTAAGTGATGGAAACACCATAGGAGCATTTTGTAAGGTAAAGCTCAATACTTTATGTACTTTTGCCCCCTTATTTCTTGATAGAAGTCATTGTATCAATAGACAAGTGAAATGAATTTTTGACTACTTTAATGTTCAACTCTCCTTGGATTTTAATAAAATGTCTTCTATCGAGAAACAGTTAAGTGAGGTTTGCTAGGTGTGTGATCTTCACCTTAAAGTGGCCAAGGCCAGTCTTTTGAAGGCTACTGATGTCTCGCCCAAAATTATTACCCTTGGCTAAGCGGTCATTGAAGCGTAGTTTTAGGTGTCGAATCCACAGAGAAGTTGATTAAACCAACAAAAGGAGTTATCACTAAGAGTGAATAACCTAGAGAAAATGATTTTCTAAAAATAAAATGAGCAAAAATATTTGAATAAAAGTAACGATGATTAAAGGATGAAAAGTAATATTGTGATGAACAAGGTTTCGAGATTCACTTGATCGATTTGCTTAACTAGTCTCGACTTTGATTCCTATTTATCACTCAATTGCAAGTTTCACATCCCAATCAAACAATCGGAAAATATAACTTTGAATCCAAAGACAAGAACAAAAGTATTTGTTCTGAGAGAATTAATTTTTGATAAAGAACATAATGATCTATTCTTACAAACTACCCAAGAACGACAATATATCAAATTGTCAGTATTGCAGTCAATGATCAACTCAGAAAATAAATCTACCAAATCAATTATTTTCTAACAAATTGCACATAAAAAGAGCATGACTAATCTTATATGGAAATTGAAGATTATAACTTTAGGGTTTATCAAAATAATAAAAGAAATCTCTAAAAAACAAAATTAAATATTGAAATCTCTCAAAGAATCAAAGTAAAATAACAAGTAAAACTCATCGATCAAGATCTTCCCAAGCCTTGTTGAAGCTTTAATCTCGCTTGGACGTCATTCTCCCCTCTTCTCCTCTGTGAAAAACTGAGAAAATAATGTCAAAATAACCTCTGCAAGTCGTCCCTTTTTGGTCAGATTTTTCTTTTTTATTGTGCTACCAGACTCCTCAATCTACTCATCCCGGATCCGCGTCTTATCCCCAATTTTTGCCTAGATAGAGATTTATTAAGAGACAGTTATCAACAGATGAATTGTAGCCCTATCTTCTTAGCTATTCATAGCATCAAGAATCATTGAATTTCGACATTTGTAGAAAAATATATGCCCAAATATCGAACCCTGTTCAGAGTAAAGTGGGAAACGAATAAACACTTATACTTGGGTCATTGAACTTGGGTTTGAGTTTCTTGTACCTATGTTTGGGCTTTCTTCCACTTAATTATTAATTCTTTCAACATAAAAATTGCACAAATAATAAAATTGACACTTATAAAATTATTAAAAAAAATATCACTTTTAAGCTCTTTATTTTACAAATGTCAATTGCTAAACACACTTTAGATATACATTTCCATGCTTTCATCAACTGAGAAGGTAGAAGCCCTCATGGAGGAGTGTGGTATCCAGCGGAAGGTAGTGGCCAGATACGAAGCGAAAGCAAAGGATTTGATTGACTTCGAGGCACGGGGGGAAAGGCTTTAGAAAATATAGTTGTTATGAAGAAGGATTGGGCTTCTATGTGAACATCCATAGTCACTCATTTTGAAAATCACATTTGTGAAAAGAATAGATAAAATTTTTGTCTTATGCCAGTGTCAAAGTGCTTTGATTTATTTTGCGTTAATGCCTTTTTCGTAGTACCAATGGGTTATTGGCCTTGGCGTATTACGCTCGGGTTATAGCGAACTTAAACATAGAAGAAAGCTTTCCCATTATATTAGTGCTCCATATGAGAGAGCCTTCGCAACGACAATTTTTTTGATTTTGTAATAAAACTTTATTGCATATTAGTTTGTAGTAAAGAGTCTGAATCAAAGTGGTGTGTAATGCGACTTGAAAATTGCATGGTCTGTGAATTTTTGTCGCAACTTGTATCAGTGCAAATGTTGAATGGTAATCAAATCATTTAAAGTTGATTGTTTTGTGTATTTCGTCTCCAATAAGTATTTTTCCTAAGTATTCTGGAAGTTAATCGCAATTGAATACCATTGTGAGTATAATCGGCCTTTATTTGTGAACTAATATAGAAAAAGGAAAGCGTGTGTGCCCCTTAGTTTGGAGGCTTAGCGCAAGTGTTAAACATTGTTGAGAAGAAAGAAAGTTGCAAGTTTCCAATGGCATTTGAAGGGACTTCGCAGGTTTTTAGATAATATCGGAAATAGTAGAATTCAAGTATTTTAGAGTTGTGCGCCCGTTGGACTCTATCGCAATCAAGTATTAACACATGCATAGTGAACTTTATCGCAGATCATTAGAAAAAAAAATGAACAGTGTTATTCCAACATCTGATATGCTATCAGGTGCGAAGGAGTTATCCCAAATAATGTTGTGTAAATAAGTAGATAATTAATATGTTCATAGAATCGGAAGTTTGAATTACTTTGTAAGGAAATGTAGTTTTGCTACCCACGCAAGGATCGAGGGTAGTCCTGCCTTAAGAAGGCGAGGCCCTTTATGGGCGATATAGTTGGGGTTTAGTCATATAGCATAAGTTGGAGTTTCATTGCAACCATGTTTGGGAAGGCAACTAGCCCTAAGGGTTAATTATGAGCTTCAGACTTTTGTGGCCTAAGGTTTTGGTCATCGCATAAGAGGGCTATCTGAGCTTTCCTATGGAAGTGAGATATCAATGGTCAAAATTAGTGTTGTTCTTTAGCAAAGTGTTATTGTCAATGTACGGAACGAGTGAAGTTTGTTCCCCCTTAGACCATTGCACTTATAAGTTAGACAAAGTATCTGCATTTATAAGTTAGACGAAAATCATACCTGATGTCGCCAAAGCTGTATTGGGGCTGTATGGAACATGAGAGTGCCTGGGATTGCTAGTGCCTTCTTAGGGTTGCTAGGGAATATGAGTGTGTGCCTAGGATTGTTAGGCCTTCCTGGGGTTGCTAGGGAATGTGAGTGTGTACCCGGGATTTCTAGGGAATATGAGTGCAAGCCAAGGGTTGTCAGGTGATATGAGTGCAAGCATGGAGTTTCCAGGTGATATGAGCATGCCTGGGGTTGCTAGGTCCTTCACGGGGTTGCCGGGGAATCTGAGTGCGCTTGGGATTGCCAGGGAATGTGAGTACGCCTACGGCTGCCAAGGCGTTCCGGGGTTGTCGGGGAATCTGAGTGCGCCTAGGGTTGCCAAGGCCTTCCTAGGGTTACCAGGGAATGTGAGCACGCCTGGGGTTGCCAGGGAATCTAAGTGCGCTTGAGATTTCTAGGGCCTTCCTGGGGTGGGTAGGGAATGTGAGCACGCCTGGGGTTGCCAGGGAATCTAAGTGCGCTTGAGATTTCTAGGGCCTTCCTGGGGTGGGTAGGGAATGTGAGCACGCCTGGGGTTGCCAGGGCCTACTTGGGGTTGCGAGGGAATCTGAGTGCGCTTGGGGTTGTCAGGGCCTTCCCGGGGTTGTTGGGGAATCTGAATGCGCCTAGGGTTGCCAGAGAATCTCCTGGGGTTGCCAGGATATATATATAAAATAAGTGTGGTCAAGATTCATTGCACAAATCAAAATATATCCATTATCAACAATTATATCATATTATTCAGAACATATTGATGTATCATAACTTCATTGCAAGACTCAAAATACATTGCAAGATATGTAATGAATGCTTTAAAAACTCGTTTCAAAATTTGTTAGCCTATCTCAAAGTCATATTTTTACCGTAAAAGAAGAACCATGTTTTTAAAACCATGCCTTTGAGAAACAACGATAAATTTTCGAATCTAACATATTTTACATATCTTAGGAATATCTTAGGAAATGGTATTGACAGCATGTTTTTGGAAATAGCTATTCAAATGGAAAAACCTTGCTAGAATAGTGCTTTGTGACAAAAGCGTGCTTTTGGGAAATAACTGTTTGGCCTGAAATACCGTTCTCAAATAGTGTGTTTCAATGGTTATTCGGAAAATAATGTTTTAGTTTGAAAACCCAAGGGTAAAGCCTAAGTTATGTGATTGTGCTATGGATTCAAAGGAATGTCTTCAAATTTGGAAAATGAGTTATGAGAAATGAAATTCCTTAATGTAACAATCCACTGTAAGTGAACTTTCCAAGTGACGGTGATTCTAGTGTAAAACCTCAAAATAGATTTTTGACCTCATGTAAATTCCTGACCACTAGATGCTAAGATGCAAATAAGTTAACGAAACGCAAATGATAGTTTCTATTAATAATCACAATAAATAAAAAATAATAATAATTTCTATTCATTGGAAAATCCAAAATAAAGTACATAAGAGCATATATCAATAGACTACACTAACTCGGTTGGTTGAATTTATTGTTTGACTTTGGATTGGCCAGAGTTGGATTTGGGTTAGGCCCACCCATTAGAGTCACAAGCAGGGTATATAGTCACTAGTTTCGGGTAGATTATCAACAAAAAAATTGAAGGATCATAATATTAGATCGTAATTTAAATATCAATAAACAAAATAATCAAATAAATAAAACAACTTTTCAAAGTCTAACAAACAAAAGCCTCACTAAATTACATAAATAAAATGGCATTTTAGAATCGAACAGAATGATTTTACCAGGATTTTCACTAGATTGTATGGATTGAATTTCAAAATCTAACAATAAGATCAAATGGATTCCAAAACTCATTGATTCTGAAATTTCGAATGGTATTTTGAGACAATCACCCCCCTTTTTTAAGGCGGTTGGTGAAATCAAGTTTTTAATAAAGTGGGTCCACTTCCAAGACATGTTAATCTATCCTTCATTGCGTGTATAAACAGGGTGTCTCTGTGTACAATAGGGATAGAGCATTTCTGAATTGATTGTTACAAAAAAAAAAAAAAATCTAACATAATTACCTCTATTGCAGTTAGTCGTTCTCCCTTTTTAATAAACCCCAATCTATCCCGTTACATGCTGCACCCTCAAGTTTATTATGACTTATGGATCATCATTAGATTTTAAAAGACAGTGGATGGTTACATCCTAAATTAGGTTCTCCCCTACCTGAGATTGGCTAGATAGAGCTATAGGGATGTCAACAGAGAGGTAGCCTTAAAAGCCTAGGTGTTAAATACATCTTCATGCTATATCAGGCAGAGCGCTGCTCATACTATATGAGGATCAAAGAAAACCTAAGACTAGTGCATGATAGTCAAAAGAGGTTAGAACCAACTTAATTATTCATAATATACTTGAATAATATTTTGAGTTCAATATCTTCCATCGTTTCCTAATAGACATGAATATATGTCAAGTGTAGCAGTACACTAAAGCAGGATATAATGTGCAACATGGTCTATTGTGCAGGTGTCATGTGTCCTTTGCAACATCCAACCATATTTTTTTCTCTAGGTTAGCCTTGAGAACAAGCATTTTCCACGATTTTCCACGATTTTTTTTTTACCTAAAAGGAATACAGAACAAAAGCGTCTACTTAGTAGAGAACAAGCAAAATACCCCAATTTTACAATTTCCAGACCCTCAAATCTTCCTCCCCCGTTTATTTTTAATCGCAGGCAAAAGGATCTGGCGAAACTTTCACATGCTTTTGATTAGGCTCTGAGTTCTAGCTAGGTTTTCAAAATTGAAAATATCATTGAAATAACTTCAGTAATTCTAAGGAATCTCATAGGAAATTTCCAAAACTCTAAATTAATCCGAATGGCAACCACCGACCTAAGATTTTAGAATTTTTTTTATCAGTAACAGAGTTTAAAATCATAGATTGTACGGGACTTACCTGAATCGGCAAAGTGAATGGAAGCGGTCTTCTGGGCACTGAGAATCACTCCCCCTTTTTTTATCCAAATCGTTTCGCATTGTTCCCTTCCGCAAGCGTCAACTAGAAGTCTGGTCTTCTCATCTTTCCGATCGGTGCACATTTATGTGTCGCAGGTGCCAAGCGGTCGCTGTTAAAAGGCGTTGGTGATGGACGCGGGAGTTTTAAATATCCCAGTTGTCGATTCCTTTGATTTCTCGGCCTATTCTTCGTTACATGAACAGCAAAAGTTTGACTGTCGGGCGGCTGGCGATACCCTATTGTAGGTTCCATTCTTGACTGATTAAAATATGGCCTTTCGGTTGCAGTTTCTCTGTCTACTGATGTATCTTCGTTGTCTGCGACGACAGGTTCGATTCAAGCGACCAGGTTTGCGAGAACTGAGGATTCGGATAGTGAATGGGGTAGCAAACAGTAGGACAATGAGAAAAACAACATGATGGAAAGAAATAAAATCAAGAACAGTTGGGCTTCTGCCTGATTCGAGTGGGAAACAAAGGAAATCTCGTTGCTGTGCATCTGCTTTTGTCGAAAAATGACAGTAAGCAATAAAAAAAAAAGAGAGGAAAACAATGGGAAAGGATAAAAGAAAGTTATAGAAGGTAAGAGAAAGGGAGAGAAAGACTTGAATAGGGTTTACCGCCACTATTCAATCGAGGAAGACGATGAACAGTGGCGACGAGTAGTGTTTACGCGAGTGAGGAGGAGAGAGAGGGAGGAAGGTGGAGGGATTGAAAAATTCTAGGTAGGAGAGGATTTAGAGCGAGGATTTGTTGTCACCGTTGGTTACGCGTGAAGACATGCTGCAACGACTTGCAACAACAAGAGAGACACCTTGATGATCGTTGCAGCAGCTGGAGAGACGCTTGGATGATTGGTGGTGGACTTGAGAGATATGGACGGAGAGAATAGAGGAACAGATAGAGTGTCAGAAACTGAGAGAGTTATTGTCGCCCTGCCGCTAGTTCGTTGGTTGAAGACGATGAATAGTGAAGAATCGCGATCTGAAAAAGGAACAAGAAAAAAGACAAAAGAAGAAGAAGAAGAAACAGAGAGGGAGAGAGATCAAGGGCTAGAGAAAATAAGAGGGGGAGAATGAGGGAGGGATTTCACCGCCGATTGGCCGCTGTGTGTCGAGAGGTAAGGGAGAGTTAACAACTGATTCATCCTTGTATTCGAAGGTCTAGAGATAGCGGTAAGAAAGAAAGAGGACGTGGGGAAGGGAAGAAAAGAGAGTAGAGAAGGGAGTGTGATAAACCCTAGGTCAAAACTGTTGTCTTCCTCCCTTGGGAATAATTGCTTTTCCGCTTTTATACAAAGAAAGTTAAAGTTATCAAAGAAAAAGTTCTTTCTTAATATTTTTTATTAGGAAATGAAATATTTCCTTTTGTTTGACTATTAAGAGATCATTATTAGAGAATCTTATCCCTTTCAGATTCTTTCCATATGTGACCCTATTATAATGACGTAGTGCGGGTGATGTCATCATTTGACGGGCGGCTTTTATTAAGCCCACATGCGTAATTTAAAAAATGCACGTGTAACTGACATTTATTCCGAATTCTACAGTTCTGTAATGGTCTTGGGTTCATCGTAACTCTACATGTGTCTGAATCACCTACATGTGTGGGATTGTGTTGTCGATGGTAAGATTCTATCTCCAAGATTACCTAAAACTTCATCCAAATCCATTAGTTGCTACTTTGTGGGGTATCCAAAAAGATCAAAGGGATATAAGTTGTATGATCCGTCAAACCCTAACTCTAACATCATCGAATCTAGGGATGTGAAATTTTTTGAAACAAGTAATGACAATTTTGAAAGGGGTAAAATTCAAATGGAAGACTTGATTGATAAAGTTTTATCGAATCTCACTCCAAATGTTATTCCAAATAATGCCGATGTTGGACCCTCACAGACACCTCAGAGAATTTGAAGACCTGCAATTTCAGATGATTACATAGTATATCTTACTGAACCTGATCATGTGGATAATGATTAAGGAAATTATTCAAAAGCCTTAAAACATCAGAATTCTGAGCAATGGTTGGAAGCCATGAAAGAAGAAATTAAATCTATGGAACATAACTCAGAATGGGAGTTGGTTGACTTGACAAAGGGGAGTAAATCCATTGGTTGAAAATGGGTCTTTAAGACCAAAAGAAGCTCTAATGGAACCATTGAGAAATTTAAGGCACGATTAGTTGCTAAGGGATTCACTCAATGTAGGTACATAGTGCTTGCTCAGTCCCTTAGAGCACATAAAACACTAGATTGATACCACATGGACGCTTGCAATCAGTTTGTAGCTCATCTTTCCTCTGCAATGAACTCATAGTACAACGTAGGTTTGCAATGAACCCACGGTTCATCACACGATTGCGATAAATCCATGCTTAACAAAAGCCAAAAAATAGACTCGAGTTGAACTTGCGATGAGTTTTTATACACTTTTAGTCCTGCGATGAACCCTAGACCGCTATGGGATCCCAGTTCGTTAAGAACCGAGCCTAAATATTGACTGCACATGTAATTTCAAGGAATGAGTGTAATAGGGTGCCATATAGGCTTAATAAGAGGCTACCCGCCACGTGTGACAGGGTGCGCACGTGGGTTATGAGGATCTTCGGGTGAAAGGAAAGTCAGTCCTCGAAGAGATCCCATAGGAACACGTGGCAAAACCCTACCAATGCTTCTTAATGACTAACAACGAATCTAATATTTCCTTTCCTAGTAGAAAACAAACACTTTTTTTGGCTCCTTCMTTTCAGAATCTCAGGATCTTCCCTATAAATGGAGGTCCCACTCATAACGAAAGGCATTCATTTAGTCATTGATTAACCCTATCATTAGACTCTTGGTTCAGCCATCTCTCTCCACTCTTCTCGCTTTAGCCCTCTGATTGACTCCTTGCCCCTGGTCTTCCTCTGTCCTTCAAGGAGACCATCTCCTTAGCCTAACCACCCTACCTACACTCAAAGAGGAGTAGATTACGATGAGACTTTTTCGCCAGTATCCAAGAAGGATTCATTCCATGCACTAATGGCATTGGTAGCTCACTATGACTGTGATTTATTTCAAATGGATGTAAAAATTACTTCTCTCAATGGAGAATTAGAAGAAGTTATTTATATGCTTCGACCTGAAGGTTTTGTCATAGAAGGAAAAAAACAAAAAGGTCTATAAATTAAAAAAATCCATTTATGGACTTAAACAAGCTTTGAGATAGTGGTACATAAAATTCCGTACTGTCATAACAGTGCTTGGATTCAAAGAGAATGTTTTAGACAATTGTATCTATGTGAAGGTTAGTGGAAGTAGAGTTGCTTTTTTAATATTATATGTTGATTATATTCTCTTAGTAGGAAATGATCGATCAATGTTGTTAGAAACTAAGCAATTTTTATCTACCTCATTTGACATGAAAGATCTTGGTGAGGCATCCTATGTTTTGGGAATTAAAATATGCCGAAATAAGTAGTTGAGACTTCTTGGCCTTTCACAAGAAACTTACATAAAGAGAATGCTGAAGAAATTTGGCATGGACTCTTGTTCTTTTGGAGTCTCCATTTGTTAAAGGGGACACTTAAAGTCTTAATCAATGTCCTAACAATGATCTAGAGTGGCAAAAAATTTCAGAACATCCCTTACGCGTATGTAGTTGGAAGCCTAATGTATGCCATGATTTGTACTAGACTTGACTTGAGTTGTACGGTAGGAATGCTGGGGAGATCTCAAAGCAATCTATGATGGAAACATTGGAAAATAACTAAAAATGTAATGAGATACCTTCAACGAGCTAAGCACTATATGCTCATATATGACCAAGTTGAAAATCTGGAGGTGACCGGAGATGCTGACTCTGATTATAAGGGATGTCTATATTCCAGAAAATCTACTTCTGGGTATGTTTTTATGATGGTTGGAGGAGTCAAAAACAGACATGTGTGGCATTATCTACCATGGAGGCAGAATACATGTCTTGTTGTGAGGCTACAAGGCATGCCATATGGTTGAGAAACTTTCTAAGAGGATTGTTCGTCATTGACTCTGTATCCAGACCCTTACAACTTTATTATGATAATTTTGCTATAATTTCACTTTCGAAGGATGCACGACATCACTCAAGAGCTAAACATATCAATGTCTAGTATCATTTTGCTCGTGAAAAGGTGCATGATGGGTCAATAAATATATCCTATGTTGCCTCAGAAAGCAATTTAACAGATCCTATAACTAAAAGACTTCCAATTGGCACATTCAAACAACATGTTAGTGATATGGGAGTCCGTGATGTAAATGAATTTATTTAATTAGTGGGAACTTGTTTTGTATTTCAGATATTTGTTATTATGTGCACATTTGATTAAGGTACCTGATCACTACCAGTTATCTCTTGTCATCCTGATATCTAGATGACATATACCATTATGTTTTGTTGATCATTACTAGGGTTGTGAGCTCATTCTATTGTGCCCAGTTTGGTAATTTTGTAACTTGGGGTGGTGATTATGTAAGTACTTTGACATGAAAATGGGTTTTGCTTGCATTAAATTGACAAGTATCTCTTCATGCTCAAGTATTTGCTAAATCATCAAAACCAAGGTAGTTAACATCCTTTCCTCAGTTCTTTAAAAAATTCCAATCTTAAATAAATAAACAACAAACAACAGACTAAGTGGGAGATTACTGGAGTGGTCACATTGATTGTTGAAGTGGTAACGTTGAAGACCACATTGTAGGAGATCAATAGACTCCTATTAATTAATAAAGAACTGAAGCAGAATGTAACGTGTTTAGAAACTTCAAAGTCCTTGATGGGAGGACTTTCTGAATGCCTCAAGAATGCCTATAAATAGAGACGGTCACCACTTGGCAAGGCGTCCTCTTAGTCACTTCTATCCCATCGTTGGAAGCCTAGGGTCAAGTGGAGAGTGTCTCAAACCAACAAACTGAGTTAGAGTTTTCTTCAAGTCTTGAGTAGCCAAAATGGAAAGTATGTGCCTATTTGATTTTCTCTTTAGTTTTAAAATTTTCAAAGGTGAATGTTATGCAGATTTCCAACATTTTTTTTCTTCACCACTAGGTTGCATCCAGCTATGATGTCGAACTGAGAGCACTTATAGCAGGACTGAAAGCAACTTTGCACCTAAAGCTACAACAACTATCGATATTTACTGACACCTTACAACTAGGAACTCTGTTATATGATAAGAACAAGTTGGAGAACTGGTTAGAGCAACTAGGAGTGGAAACAGGGCGGATTCGGGGCGGGGATCATATTCCCCGTCCCTGCCCCCGATTCTAAAATTAACCTCCATCCCCGTTGGGGATAAAATTTGTCCTCCACCCCCGATCCCTGAAGKGGATGGGTTTCCCGTGGAGACCCGAATCCCCGAAAGTTTTTTAGATAATAGTATTTTTTGAAAAATAAATTTACTTAAAATAAATAAAAATTTTAAATTATAAATAATGTTTTAAATATGTTTTGATATATATATATATATATATGTATATATATAATAGACATTTAATATAAATAACATTTATATATATACATATATAATTGGGGTCGGGGCAAGGCGGGGACCTCAATCCCCATCCCCGACCCCATCAGGTCGGGAAAGTCTGGTCCCCATCGAGGATGGGGAAAGTTGCCATCCCTAAGAGAAATTGCAATAGATAAGAATTACGTGTCTTTTGAAAACTTTACCTCATACTTTTTGCATGTAAATAAAGCACTAAACAAGGATGCTCACACTTTGGCTTATATAGCATGTAAAGGCCAGTTGACCATAAAGTATGGAACTCCAGATGCACCTATACTAACAACATAATGAAGTTGCTTCCTTTTTTTGCAAAAAAAAAAAAAGAAGAAGGGAAAATTATAGTCAAAGCCAGCTCAACGTTTAAAATGACATTGCAGGTTGGTTCAGAAACCAACAAAACTCTAACAGTCAACTATACATTTGAAATTATAGAAACCCCTACCATGTCATTAGAGGCTTATGTGGTTGTTGCCAACATGAGATTCTTAATCCATGTTAGACACAGCATGGATTATTTGAAAATAAAGAAAGGGTTTTCACTTTCTTTCCTACTCCAACTTTCAATCTCCTTCCCACTCTCTCACTCTCACAGTTGTCTCTCCCTGCTCAACAACTGTGAGATTTGAGAAAAGGGTTTTACATTCTCTTAGTTATTCTCTCTCGTTCTCTCCCTCTCTATCAATCTACCATTCTTCCTCAATCACTCATTCTGCTTCTTG